GGAGTGCATTGGCAGGAACAAATTTCACTGCAGACTTGAACACCCAGGCTCAAGCCATCTTCCCATCTCAGTCTTCCATGTAGCTGGGACTACAGGCATGCACCACCACACACCTGGCTAATTTTTTTTTTTCTCTTTTTTTTGGTAGAGACAGGGTCTCACTGTGTTGCTTATGCTGGTCTTAATCTCCTGGGCTCAAGCGATTTTCCTACTTTGGCCTCCCATAAGTGCCAGGATTACAGGTGTGATGAACAGCACCCATCCATCTTCTATGTTTTAGATGTCTTAAAAAAAAATTGAGGAAAAAAATCTGTTTTACATTAACCATGATTATTGATTTTTTTATTCATTGCCAGTATCTCACTGTGTGTTTTCTATTTTCCATCTTTTTTCCCATGCTTTTTCCCCTGCATGCTGCACCTTCCTCTAAATCTTGCCATCTTTGGGGTTAAATTTTTTTCTTTATCCAATATTTTCCCTCTCCTTGCTTGAAAATTAATACTCTATTTCTTTCCTTTTAGTAATTACCCTAGAAATTCTGTATTTCACTTACTAAAATCTAGAATTAATAAATATCTTTATCTTACTCTTGAAAAGTATAAGGACCCTAGAATGTTTTAACCCTCTTCACTCCTCTTCTGACTTATATGTTGTTATTGTCCAAGATTTTAGAAAAATTTTTAACCCCTTGAATTAGACATTAGCGTATATGCTTTATATGATCAATTTTTGTTTAGGTTTCCATAAATCTATGATTTTTTTTTTGTCTACCATTACGTTTTGCACCCCATGCCTTCCTTTCTTCCACTTCTCTCAGGAAGGATGCTGTCTCTTTCATCTGACACAACCTTCCATTCTGCATGAGCCCTCAGTTATGTCTCCTATCTTCTGAGTACACAACCTTTGTAAACCAAGTACCTATCTTACTGTGATCCAGAAGATGCCCTCCAGGAGAATGTTAAAGTTTCCTTACTGTTGCGAAATCAAGCATCCTTGTCATTTCAACCTGTTTCCCTTATTTCACTGCCAGCTCAACCATGCTTTCAATAAATATTTGAATAAGTTATCTAGCATTTTTGGATGATCTGACCAGGAAGTTTGTCTCTAAAGATCATTCTATCTTGTTGTCTTGAATGCTCTTAGATTAACGTTTTTAGTATTCATGTTCTTTGAAATGGTTTCATAGAAATATTCTATTTACTACATATGCTCCATCAGTGAAAAGTATAAATGAAAGAGCCATGTATACATAGAATTGCTTAAGAACTGTTTTAGTCACAAAATTATTTTTGTTTTGCCTATTATATATATTTTACACAAGCTAAAAGCCATTTCCAAAAGACTGCCCTTTTTTTCTGAATTCTAAGTGTAAATATTGACTCCGATATATTATCCCCAACATCTTATTATAAAAATTTCCCAACATACAACAAAGTTAAAAGAGTATCTACTGCATGTATTTTGACTTTATCATTTTACAACCCTGCTTATCACATTATCTACCTATCTCTATTTATCCATCAATTCATATTACTTTTTGTTGTTACATTTCAAATGAAAATGCAGACATCAATACATTTCTCCACTAATATTTCATAAACAAAAATTATTTCTAGGCAATAAATCTTACATTCTACAAATTTTGCTTAATATTTTTATAAGCAGTTAAAAAGCACAACTATCTATGCCACAATCATGTAACACCATTTGAGTCAGAAAACAACAGTCTCACAGTTAGGAAGGGGGAAAAGTTAAAATAAATTATTAACTCTTTATAATACATTATATTTCCATGCTGGTAATAATAAGCTTCATATGTGGCACACTGATTTGAAATGTCTGCCCTTTCATTTAATCAATATTTAGGGTTCCTATTCCTGTTTCTATTTTTTAATGATAAAAGCTCTCACTTGCCATCACTTCACTGTTCAATACTTGTGGAAGACTATTCAATTTCACAGAGGCAGCTGACCAGTTATCTTTTAAATTTAGTTTAGGCAAAGTTGTGTTTGCCTTCTGTAGGTAAATGCCTTCCTACATTTAGTTTAACGATTTTATAAATTAGATTCTAACATCTCTTTAAAATTTTATTATAATAAACATTTGATTAGCTACCATATCAAGATTGTGCTTCTGTTTTCTCTTCCTATCTTTAACATTAGAAGCATAACTTACATTTCTAGGGAGCATTTCTTTTGAAAATAGATCACTTTGAATGCATTTAAAAAGATGAGAGGTATGTTTTAGAGTTTAGATTTATTTGAATTTGGAAAAGGCTTTCAGGTAATTTTTTATACTTGCCAAAGACAAAAAAGACCAAAAAATGTAAACCAATATCTGTAGAATTCCTCTACTGTCAAGACAAAAACAAAATTGTCTAAAACAATTATTTTAATAATCTACATGGTATACTTGCCTATTATCACAAATTCATAGTATGATCTTACCCTTCATTTGCTGGATTAAATTAAAATCAATGTAATATTATACTCTTGATCAAAACAATCCAATCCAGATTCAGCCAATCTGAGACCCATGTGAGTAATTTAGGCACACTCCTAATCTCTGTGAGGCTACTCTTCCTCATCTTTAATTTAAAATTCCCTAAGATAGTCTTTACTGTTTTAGGGCTTATTCCATTATCTAGAAGTTTTTTATCAGATTATTAAAATAATGACTAGCTAAAGGACAGAGTAATGTAATTCTAGCACTTCACAAATATGAAAAGGTATTTCACCTATTTTTCTTCCCCTAAGCACAGGAACTTCCTGGTAGCACATTAAACAAAAGAATGGTTCCAATTTAAGCTCTCTCATTTAATTTCTTCTAAACTTTTGTTTCTTTTTTCGTAATACTGTATAGCCTACTATCAAAAGAAGAACTAATAAAATACTCATTATAATTGAAATAGTAGCAAAGTATGAAAAAGAAGAAACATGAAAAAGCTAGTATACCTTAAGGGAAAACATCCAGTTCCAGATGTGACCACATAGAAAAGCTATAGAATAATAATGATAACAGTAATAATGACCTTATCAAAGTATGTCCAAATGGTTGCTCATTCGAGAAAAACCAATGAACAAAAAATTGCATGTTAGTAGAACAGAGCATCCTAGAGCCCACAGGATGGTTACAAATATGATGCTTAAGCAACAACTAAATCACTGCATAAAATGTCAGGGGCCAGAAACAGTGAGGACACAAAGAATATGCTTCCAAAACTTCTACTTCATTCACTTTCATCTTTTTGGGCTCTTTAGGCAAGATGAGAATCTACTAATTTTCCCCAGAAACAGGGAAACAAATATTAGCAATGAGACCAAAGGACAATGCTCTAAGTCCAAATAAATGTGATATTAACCCCAGCACTTTTACTATATGTTCATTCATAGAAGACATTTCATTCACATGAAGAATCTTGGAATATGCTAATATCATTCAGATGAAAAGACAAGATTCAATCATATATCAAAACTCTTGCAATATTTTAATGTTTCTCAGTTTCTAAAATTGCTGTTTTCCAGAGGCTTTGCTGCTTAATAGACTTCAAAAGCCACTTTATATGCAGAAATATAATTATAGAACGTGAATATCTATACGACAATACAACTTCTCAAATCTTGACCAATCTGGTGTCCTCTTTCTTTTTGGGCAGATTTACCAAACAGTCTACTCTTAAGTGAATAAAAACTTCCAGTTAGTTTATAAGCTAGGATCTTAAAACTATACAGCCAATAATAGCCAAACGGTTTTAAGGAAAGAGTAAGGAACAGGGAATCAAAATCAGTTCAAGATCTGGCACCACCAATAACTTGTTGTTTGATCTAAGCAAGCCACTTATCTATGCCTCAGTTTACTAATCTCTCATGTGAAACTACTACTTTAACAGGGATTTCTGAGAAAGAAATAAGAGAATACATATCAAAGGCCTTGAAAGAGTGAAAAGGATTCTAACTGATTATATTATTAGTAAAACTGAAAGTCTAAAATCAACTCCTTGATGTAATCTTCCTTTTTGGTACACAGAGTTGAATATTCTGTTACTTTCCATTATATAACATATCATATACAAACATATATTATACATGTATCTACACATATATACAAACATACACAGACATACATATGTATATGTATGTGTATATATACACATAGTTAAAAATAATTTTTAATATGCCCTGATATTTACCACTTACCTTAAATAGAACATTACTAATATCTTGGAGGCTATTATATGCTTATTTTATTGTATTTCTTTTCATTAAGTCCAGAGTGTTCTAAATTGTGTGCTAATTACTCCCTTGCTTTGACTTATAGTATTGGCATATATATATATATATCACTAAATTATCTATCCATGCATTCATCTTCCTTCTTTCCATCTATTAATCCTGCTTTCTGAACTTTATATATATAGATGCTGTATATATTTTTCCTTCAACTTCTGCAATATTTTTCTTCATTTCTTGACATTATTTTTCACATAATTTCTAAGGTTAACAAAATTTATTATACCCATTTAAAACAGAAAAAATGAGGTATGCTGAAGCTAGAAACTTGCCACATTATGTGAGAAGACAATGGATAAGTTTTTCTATAGTAATTCTGAAAGAAAAACAAACCAATGACTGTCTCAGAGCTTTAGAGAACATTCATATCATTAGCTTCAATTAAAAAGAAAATATTTACTTACTGCTAGCAGCATAATTCAGTTAATATTTCTACACTGACTTTACATAGATGATATTTGTTCTTTCATATTAAAGGGGAAGGTATATTAAAAAGTACTGATGATATAAAAGCCCCAAATAATATTTAAATATTTCCTTCAAATGAGAACAATAACAAATTAAGTAAGATCAAAAGAAGATGTATATTTCTTTGAAGAGATGGACTGTCAGGAAACACGTAGCCTTACTATGGAATATTTTAATTAAAGAGGATTGTCTCCTGAAATAAGTAATTAGTCTGACACTAATCAATCCAAACATATCATTCACCTGAGCAAATGGTGGAAGAATCTCCTTGAATATTTGCTGATTTGGTCTCTATATTCCAATATAGTGGTATCCAGAAGTGGTCTTGTTGGAGCATAGAAGGTTCCAAGGCTTGCCTCAAGCTGTGCTGTGGAATTCAAACATAGCAGCACTGAAACAAGTGAAACTCCTTCAATTACAACAAAATACTCATGTTTGCAGTCAGTCAGGTTTTGCAAACTTGGATGAAATGTGAGCTTGTTGCAGGAAAGATGAAATTAAAATATGACAGCTGGTACAAAAACAAACCTGTGTATAAACTTTCACTTGAGGCAAAGCTGACAATGACTCTGAGCAACAAAAAAGCTGTCAAAACTGAAGAAATCCATATTGAACCACCCTCTCACCACAAATGGGTAATTAAAGCAGTGACTCATCAAAGTAACGCAGTTTGAACTAGTACTTCCAGTAAAATCAGCTCACAGTGTGCTAAACATTTACTCTTTTTGGCTAAAAGGATAAAACTAACTTTTCCCTATTGGGAATTGAAATCAATATAGAAGAAATTGTTTTTTAAATAATACAAATAAACAGCCATATTGGAGTAGAAATATGTCTCTATTGCAGTTTGAAGAGAACCATGAAAGTCCCTATGTCTTCCCTAAGTCCTATCCTAAACAGCAAGATTCTTGGTTTTATCCAAGTGTGAAAACTAAGACTCCTGGGAAAGGAAAGAAGGACTGGAGAGTCAGGTTTTAATAAACTAGAGGGCTAAGACTGGGGGAAAGGGCACATTTTGCCTGTTTTGTAGTTTTACCAAGACATGCTTATGGGACTAGGTTTTTCCCCAGAAATACCTGGAAGTTAAGTAATAACCATAATAGTGAGAGTAAGAGTACGTATGAGAACACTATAGTTCACAGTAAGACTCCTCTGATTTGTATGCTACTAGCACTGGGTTGAATAAACAAATCCTTATTTAACAAAACTAGTTTTAGGCATATTTGGGTTTGAAAGTATTAAATACCTCATCAGAGTAATTGCTATGGAATTGGCTAAGCTGTAAGTAATTTCTTTTTTTAATCTCAAATCTAGACAGTAAAGTAAGATGAACTTTAGAGGTATTTTCTTTTAAAGCAGCAGTCAATTTAGATTAAAATTGAATACAGCAACGCTATTGTGAAAACAAGCCAGATTCTCTTGTCATTGCTTGTTTTCTTGACAGCATGTTTCGTACATCTGAAATGTTCAAACCTATATGGAATACTCATAACTCCCAGCACAGTTATAGATTCATTAGATATCCCAGCTTGATGTTTAAGGCAGAAATGAAGATCTCAAAGATAACTACAACATGGCTACAAATAAAATAGCTCACTGGGTTCCACTAATAAAAGGAAAACAAATTACCATATCAAATTTGTTAGATTCAGAACACATCTCAAGAGAGAAGAATTCTGAATGTTTTAGAAATCTGTTTTGCAGTTACTTGGAGGGAAATGCACATACCTACTTAAAATGTACATATTCTGATAACCCAGCATCATGCAAACATTTTATTTTAATAGCCTAGTATCATACAAGCTTTTTATTTCCCTATCTCCCCAATATGGTTCCTTGAAAATATCCTTTATTAAAGCAAGAATCGGATGATGCCCATTTGTGTATTCCCTAATAATCTTTCCTATAACACAGTCATCTTACAAGACAAATTCACTAAGGTACTAGCAATTTCTTGGTGTGCTCAGTCAATATTTTATCTTTTCCATATTTCTTCTTTAAGTATAAATTTATGATTGCTTATATAGATTGTGTATAATATAAGCATTCGTTAGGGACTCCGCTTTTAAAAATTTTTTATGTTTGTTTTTAAGTATGCACCCAGTCATTACAGTATATCATTGCTAATAAATAATTAGTTAAGATAACTCTGTAAGCAGCAATATTATAGTAGTATCTTGTATCCTAAAATTATGATGTTATATTCTTTTTATTTTTAACTAATACTCACTGAGTACCGAAGTATGGGCCATGCACTAGGCATTTTCTCATTGTAAAAATACTAGAATTTTTTGGCTGGGTGCAGTGCTCAGCTGTAATTCCAGCGCTTTGGGAGGCTGAGGCAGGTGGATCACCTGAGGCCAAATGTTCGAGACCACTCTGGGCAACATAGTGAAACCTGTCTACTAAAAACACAAAAATTAGCCAAGCGTAGTGGTGCACATCTGTAATCCTGGCTACTCAGGAGGCTAAGGCATGAGAATTACTTGAACCTGGGAGGCAGACATTGCAGTGAGCCGATATTGTGCCACTGTACTCCAGCCTGAGCAACAGAGCAAGATTTGGTCTCTAAATAAATAAATAAATATATTCAAAGTTCCTTAGTTAAATTTTGACTACCTCCTAAAAGCACATTCAATTAATATTAAATAAATATTTACTGTGGGCCATGTGTGACTTCCTGGATACAGACTTCCTGGAAGAGCATGTTCTTACTAATTATTCTTCTCTAAAATTACTAAAATGAAGATTACCTACAGAATTCTATCTAAACAACTTTTGTATTTTGGCAATGTAATAAAGTGGGATAAGAAAAATCTATAAAAATGCAAAGAAAATAGAAAAGAAAAGCTCTCCAAGTAAAGATCTTTTGACATATTTCCTGTTCTTCCTATCTTATAAATGACCTAGGGACAGTTTCTCATTGGCCATGATTTTCCACCATTAATGTCAATGCTTACCACAAACATACGTAAGATGCAAATGTTAGACTGCTTAGGTGTATTATACATCGAGTAAATAACTTATAAGAAAAATAAGACTAGATAATTGGCAAATATAAAGATTTATTTCATTATTGTATGTGTCACAGCATTCCCCAATGCCCCCATCCCCTGACCTTTGTTTTTTTTTCACTTCTCTTTTAAAATTAAACATCTTAGATCTCTATGGACAAAATTACTTATTGGGCAAAGGTAAGGAAATTCAAGCAGGCAGAAAAGAGAAGAGTGTCAGAACTATAAGTCAGAATAAGGAAAATAAGAAGGAGCAGCCTGGGCTGCAATTCAGATACACAGAAAAAGTAAGTGTTAAGGACTATTGTCTGGACAGAGGACTTGGGTGTGAGAAAAAAGAACTGATGTCTGATGTGAGTGAGGAATGAAAGACCTTTGTTGGGTGCCCTTTGTCTAGCAGATCTCAGGGAGTACATAAAAATTTTGGTCAACGTTTGAACTATGAGCACATTACATCCTTGATCTTAAGATAGAATGGTACAATGACTACACTGTGAGTTCCAACATAAGCATAAACAGAAAAGCTGTTTTTTATGTTGACAAATACTATACAATAAGTACCATATGGGAGCAATCAACTGTTATCTGATCCTTTGAGTTTTACTAGAGCACTAAAGTAATCTCCAATAAAATAATTCAAAAACAACCTTAAAAAATAACCAATTTAATAAAATATATTTCATGTATATACAAAATACATCTAAGTAAAATATTTCAAGCCTGACCTTCTCTCTCTGGAGTGAGCTTTTGTCTAAGAAGATGGTTTACAATGGCGCTCATGCTGATAAAGCACTGGTGGCCCAGAGTGTCCCAGTTCATGCTGCTCAGGATGTTTATTGCCTCATAGATCTTATCACAGTGAATGTACTGGAAAATGATATCTACCAGGCCCAGCTGTCCTTGAGTGAAGACACCTGTCACAAAACATGGAAAACCAAGTGAATCTCTTAAATAAAAGTAGGAAAACAAAAAGTTAACTTTTCCATAAAGAAAAAAACCTGCATTGCTTGCATAAGTGCTAGAAATGTGGGACTGATCTCTTTCTCAACTAATATCTACTATAAGATACACTGGTACAACACAAACGTATCTATTGATCCCGTCAAAATGAAAGAAAATTCACTTTTACTCTCATGAACATGAGCATAAAACAAAGGTTGGGGGTAGCAATCTGTTCTGGTTTTATAGACTTTTAAATATGGCTGACCTCATTTGAAATTAATCATTTCTGTCTATTAAATGACAATAAGTATTAGAGCTGTTAGACAGGTGTTTTACTTGTTTTTTGTTTTGTTTTGCTTTTAATCTTTTCAAAATTGTAGGTAGGCTATAAAATCTTTTTTTTCTTCACTGTTTACTGATTTAAAGTATAAAAAACTTCCTCTCAGTACAAATAATCATAAAAGAAAATGAGAAATGTGAAATTACTTTCTAAGCTGCAAAGTATTATAAAATATTACTGTATTTCTTTTTATTACTATCATTATCATCATCATCATTTAACTGGAATAGTTACAGGCTTCGGGATTTTTAAAAATGTATTCATTTATGAGAAAGATGTTAAAATTCTTCATACTAACTTCAAGTCGCATGAAAATGAAAACTTGTACTAACTATTAACAGGACTGAACTTGATAGGGAATCTGGGGAATTGCCCTGACTGTACTAAGCAATAAAACTTTACTATTCCTTTTGTGTTGGTAGAATCAAAGAATGTGACTGTCCAAAAGCCTTCATGAGCCTGCAATCAAGCATTGGAAGTCCTCATAAATCAGGGTGGTTCCTTGGCAGTAGATATTAATGCACAGGAACTTTACAGGAAACCAAAAATATCTGAAGTCTGTTGACTCTACCTATACCCTAAGTAATGCTTCTACTAGTAACAAGAGAAAGAACTCATATATTAAGAAAAGCTAACATATAATAATAAAAATCACTGAAAGGTGATAAAGAGAAAATCTTAAAAGGCAACCACAAGAAAAAAAAATACATTGGATGTACAGAAAAGCAAAGGCATGAATGATTATAGACTTTCCATCTAAAATTATATAATCCAAAGGAAAATAACAAGACATTTTTAAACTACTGAGAGATAAAAAGTAAATTAATCTAGAATTCTATACCTTTATAAATATGATTCAAAATTCATGAAGAAAGATTAACAATCCTTAAATGCACCTAATAACAGAGCTGTGAAATAATAAAGCAAAAATTGACAGAATTAAAAAAAAGAAAAAGCTAAATCTAAAATTATAATTGGTAGCCAGAAGTGGTAGCTCATGCCAGTAATCCCAGCACTTTGGGAGGCCAAGGCGGGCAGATCACTTGTGAGCACATGTTCGAGACGGACCTGGCAAACATGGCGTAACATCATACACAAATTAGCCAGGCATGGTGGCAGGTGACTGTAATCCCAGCTACTCAGGAGGCTACAACAGGAGAATCACTTGCATCTGGGAAATGGAGGCTGCAGTAAGCCAAGATTGCACGACTGCACTACAGTCTGGGTGACAGAGTAAGTCTGTTTCAATCAATCAATCAATCAATAAAATGATAATTGCAGATTGCTTCACTTTTACTAATCAAGAGAATATGTAAGCAAAAAAAAAAAATCATTGAGTAAAGGAAATACTTGAAAAACACTATCAATGAATGTGACCTAAGTGACATTTATAAAACACTGCACTGAACCACAGTAATACACACATTCTTTTTAAATGCACACAAAACATTAACCAAGATAGAGCATATTCTGGGGTAATATAATAAAGCTAAATACATTTAAAAGTTTTAAAATCATAAGAGCATTTTCTCTGACCAAAACAGAATTAAATAGCAATAACAGAAAAATTATCTGGAAAATCTCCAAATATTTAGAAGTTAAGCAACACTCTCCTAAATAACCTATGGGTCAAAGAAAAAAATGTCATAATGTATATTAGAAACTATTTTTAACTGAATTAAAGAGCAGATTAGACCCAAAGTAAATAGAAGAAAATAATAAAGACAATAGGAGATAAAGAATACAGAAAAATCAATGAATTCAATAGTATGTTCTTTGAAAAGATCAGTAAAACTGACAAACTTCTGTCTCAGCTGAGAAAAAAAGAGAGATGATACAATAACCGATATAAGAATGACCACTACAGAACTACTAACATTTAAAATCAGTGAATAGTTCACTTTCATACGAATAAATATAACCTAAATGAAATGGATTCCTTGAAAGACCCAAACTCTCAAAGCTCACTCAAGAAGGAGTAAACTTGAATGGCTCCATGTTATTTAAATTTGAAGTCATTGTTCAAAAATCTTTACAAACACATGCACCAAGGCACACACATACATATACATGTCATGCATGTTAAGATGTCTTCACTGGTGAATTCTCTCAAACACTAAGAGAAGAAATAATAAAGCCAGGAATAGGGGTGCACACCTATAGTCTAAGCTACACTGGAGGCTAAAGTGGAAAGATCGCTTGAGCCCAGGAGTTTTGAGTCCAACCTGGGCAACATAGCAAGACTGTGTCTCAAGTAAAAAAAAAAAAAAATTAACAAAAGAAGAAATAATATAAATCCAATACAACTCAGATTATAAGACAAAATATTTCCCAACTCATTTCATGGGGTTATAATTACATTGACACCAAAAATGAAGATATTACAAGAAAAGAAAAAGAAAACTACAGAACAATATTTCCCATAAACAAATACAAAAGCCCTTAACATAATATTAGCAACTCCAGCAATATATTAAAAAGATAACATATCATGAACAAGCAAGATTTCTCCCACAAATGCAAGGTCGCTTAAACATCTGAAAGCCAATCAATATAATTTACCTTATGATGAGAAAAAAAAAGAGGAAAAAACATATAGTCATTTCAGTTGCTGCAGAAAAAGCACTTGAAAAAAATTCAACATTCACTCAAATAAAATATCCCAGCAGACTAGGAAAGGAAAAGGACTTCTTCAATGTAATACCATCATACTTATAGTGAAAGATTGAATGTTTTCTACCTAAGATTAGAAACAAAGCAAAGATACCCTCTCTCACCATTTCTATTTAATATTGTACCAGATGTCCTAGCTGTAAGAAGTGAAGAGAATAAATTAAAAGGCATACAGGTTAGATAAGAGGATGTAAAACTTCTGAATCCAGTTGTCATGATCATCTCTGTAGAAAATCCTAAGGATTCCAAGTTACTTCAGCTAAGATGAGTTTAACAGGGTTGCAGGATGTATGGTTAATATTTTAAAAATTTATTTCTACATAATCCCAATGAACAATAAAATTGTAATGAAAAATATTTAAAATATAATCCAAAAACAATGCTTAGGGAAAATATAACAAAGCATGTACAAGATCTTTACACTTAAAATTATAGAACTATGCAGAGAGAAACTAAAGAAATTTATGGTTAGGAGACTCAATATTAAGAATCATCCCTACCCAAAATGATCTCTAGGTCCAACACGATCTCAGTAAAAATCCCATCAGGTGTTTTTGTAGAAACTGACAAGCCAGTTTCAAAACTTACATAAAAATGGAAAGGATCTACAATAGTCAAAATAACAGGAAAAAGGACAATAAAGTTGGAGGACTAACAGTACCTGATTTCACTACTTACTTTAAAGCCACAGAATTAAGTCAGAATAGTACTTGCTTAAGTATTGACATTTAATTTACTAAAAGACATCACAGTTATTGATAGGTAAAAGTAATTCAATGGGGGAGAGAATTCCGAAAAATGGTACTTGCTTATGTATTGACATTTAATTTACTAAAAGACATCACAGTTATTGATAGGTAAAAGTAATTCAATGGGAGAAAGAATTTCTGAAAATTGTACTGGAACAATAAATATTCATATTAAAAATTAATCTCAACCCATCCCTCATACCATATGCAAAAAGATAACTTGAAATAGACCATGAACCTAAATGAAAGAGCTATACCCACAAAACTTCTAGGAGGAAATCTTTGCGACGCTGGGTTTTCTTAGGACAGGAAAAGATAAAGCCACAAAACAAAGAACATTATGAACTGAATTTCATTAAAATTAAAAAACTTCTGCTACTTTATACACAATGGTAAGAAAATGAAAAGGTAAACTCCAGGCTAAAAAAAAATTCACAATATAAGTATCTTACAAAGGCCTTGTATTCAGAAAATATACATAAAAAACCTCTTACAACTCAAGTAAACAAAAAATCCAATTATATTTGGGCAAAATATTTGAAGACATACTTCATCAGACAAGATACACAATAAATAAGCACATGAAAATATGTTCAATTCCAACAGTCACCCAGGAAATACAAATTAACACTACAACACACTCACTAGAATGGCTAAAATTAACATGACCATAAATTTCAAAGTGAGAACATGTAGCAACTAGAGTTCTCATAAATTGCTGATATGCTAAATGGCATAATCACTTTGGAAAACAGTTTTTTCTAAAGTTAAACACTTAGCATATGGCCCAGCCATTTTAAATTTGTAGGACTTTCATAAGAGAAATGAAAATATATGTTCATACAAAGACTTGTAAATGAAAGTACACAGTATTTTTAATCTGTTAGCTAAAACCTGGAAACAAACCAAATGTCCATCAATATGTGAAAGGATTTAAAAAACTGTGGTAACAGAAATACCAAAAAAAATTTTAAAAAACCTTCAGAGGATATTAGGAACACCTCTATGCACTCCAGCTAGAACACCTAGAAGATATGAATGAATAAATTTCTGTAAACATACACTCTGTCAAGATTGAATTAGGAAGAAACAGAATCACTGAACAGACCAATAACAAGCTCTGAAACTCAATCACTAATAAAAAGCCTAACAACAGAAAAAGCTTAGGAACAGACAATTAATAACCAAATTCTACCAGGTGTGTAAAGAA